GTTCTTGACTGAAATTCAATATCAGTTCAATTCATTTATGTTATTGTTAATGATCAGCGAGTTTATGATTCTTTTATTATATCCGTTATTTAAAACTGTCGTTCTTAGTTCTTAGGTCTCAAGCTCTGGTTGAGATAAATGTAGGATTCTATTAGGTAGTCGATAGTGAACTTAAAACCTATCAAACAATCATACATAAATATTTTAATATATTGTATTAATGCTAGTGCATCTTCTCGTGAAAAGGTTGGTGTAGCTCCAGTGGAAGATAATATTAGAGAGAGTCACCTTAGATGGTTTGGTCACATAAAACGGCGGTTTTTCGATGACCCAGTTAGGAAAGTAGATGTATTAAATTTGTCTTATGCTAAGAAAGGTAGAGGTAGACCTAAAAAGACTTGGTTAGAGAATATTGTAAATGATCTTACCTTATTAGATTTAAATGAGAATTTGACTTTTAACAAGACACAATAGAGAAAAAGGATTCATGTAGCCAACCCCACGTAGTGCGATAAAGGCTTGATATTGTTGTTGTTGTAATGCTAGTGCATCTTCTGGAAGCAATGCGTTGTTTGACCTGAATGCAATGAGAAGTGTGTAAGGGCCGTTGTATGGAGCCTATGTTAATAAAGTTAGAGGTAAACCTAAAAAAACTTGGTTGGAAAGTTTTCAAAGTGATTTTTTTTATTAGACATAAATGAAAATTTGATTCTAAATATGACCGTGTAGAAAAAATGATTCATATAGTTGACCTAATGTAGTAGGATAAAAGCTATTGTTGTTGTATGAGTAGGGTGTCAATTTCGGGTCACGGGTTCGACCCCCGAAACTGACTCGACACTATTCGGGTTTGGGTGAACTCGACCCGTTTTTACAAACGGGTCGATTTTTTGACCCGAACCCGACCCGCTTCGGGTTCGGGTAAACCCGAGCCGACCCGAATAGTGCCTTTCATCTTCTCTTTTCGCCGTTGATGTTGTGCTTCGTTGCTTCGTAGGTGTAGAGATTGCACGTGTCGCTTCTTTGACTCACTTCTTCGCAGGCGGTGGCTGATCAACATCGCTCCTTTGACGATTTTCCCTTCCCATTGGATCGAAAGTTACAACATTTTGATCGGAAGCAACGACGGAAGTTCGCTCAATGCTGTTCGGCTTCAATGCTATTCGGCTTTATTGCTGTTCGACTTTGCTCGTTGCTATTCGGCTCCTTCGTGGCTGTTCGACATCGCTCCTTTGACGATTTTCCCTCCCATCGGATTGGAAGTTACAACATTTTGATCGAAAGCAATGACGGGAGTTTGCTCGTTAGTGTTCAGCTTAGGTGCTGTTTGACTTCGCTCGTTGCTGTTCGGCTCCTTCGTGGCCGTTAGACATTGCTCCTTTGACGATTTTCCCTCCCATCGGATCAGAAGTGACAACATTTTGATCGGAAGCAATGACGGGAGTTTGCTCGTTGCTATTCGGGTTCGGGTCATTCCGAGTTTTTGGGTCAGCCCGAACCCGATCCGGTTTTGCAAACAGATCAGTTTTCTGGACCCGAACCCGACCCGCTTCAGGTTCGGGTCAACCCAAACCCGAAATTTTCGGGTCGGTCCAATATTGACACCCCTAATAAGGAGTAACCAAGCGAGATTGTTTGTATTGGTTTAAACTTATTAGGATTATCTATCTGGAAGGCCAATGAATCATGCTGTCACTCTTCTAAAACAATTATCTTTAATCTTTATGGAGAAAAATAGATCAAGATTTGATAATTTTAAAACTTTTTTAATTTACTCTTACATTATAATAAATTCTATTTGAAAAGATCAAATTTAATGAGTATGTATCCTCTATCTTTATTGCTGAATCAAACATGGCGAATCGGCAACAATGAAAACTATTAATTCGAAGACCCCAATTCTCCCCATACGAACAGTTTTGTGAAATCAAAATAGTAAACTAGCAGTCCTTGGCTTCCCGCTCCGCTCAGCATAATGGAAGATCCAGAGGCGGCGGCTCCAACGCCTCCAGCACTCCAAGCCCATCCTCCACCAAGAACGCCATGGCCAATCCCCAAGTGATATGCACATCCAAATGACAATGAAGCAGCCAAACCCCTGGATTATCTGCTACGAATCTTATCACCGCCCATCCCTTCATCGGCACGCCGACCGTATTCCTCAACGGCGGATCAATCAAATTGAATTTCTCGGTATCTCTAGCCGGATCGAAGTTTCCAAATCCCTCCGCAAGGATGTAGAAATTATACCCATGGAGATGAATCGGATGGTTCTCAGCAGCAACAATGCTCGTCCCCTGCAATACTAGCTGTACCACTGATCCAAACCTCAACTTATACAGCTTGGTCGCGGGTTCCGGCTGCTCCCTGCCGACGTTTTTGCCGGTGTAATCAAATTCCACCGGTGGTTTCGCAGGGAAATCGGTGGTGAAAATCCCCGGAACGGCCAATTTATGTGCCTGAAGGAGGGAAGAGCTGTACGGGAGAACGAAGGAGACGTTATTGATGCTAGCGGTGAGCCGGGTGTGGTTCGGCCCGCCGCAGATCTGACCCGGCAGACATTCGAATAAACCTAGGCCGACCGTGAAGAAGAGGTGCTCGTCGACGGGGCTTGGGAGCTTGACGGGTGTGGGGCTCTTGAAGGCGGCGGAGAAGGCGGTGACCGTGAGGGTGTCGTTGAAAGCGGGGAGGATGGGTTGGGCAGGGGGTGGTTGGGTGGGTCCGGGGAGGCAACCGCAGTCGTAGTCGAGGATGGCCGTGGCGGTGGTGTTATCGAAGGGGAGGGATTCGGCGGAGGAATAAGCGCGGGCGGCGATGTAGTAACGGGAAGGAGGTAGGCTGGTAGTGATGAGGACGTCCGTGGTTTGGCCGGGTGCAAGCATGATGACGGAGGTGAGGAAGGGTTTGACGTAGGAGGCGTCGGCGGCGACGACCATCATGGAGTGTCCGGCGATGGAAACGAAGAGCTCGGTGTTGAGGGCGGCGTTGATGAAGCGGAGGAGAATGGTCTCGCCGGGATTGACGGGGAAGACGGTGATCTCTGAGATGGAAATGGACATCTTTTTCAGTGTTGTAAGAGAAGAGAAGTGGATAAAGGAGCTTGTTTTGATGATAAAAATCAAACCTTTGGAGGAGCAGTTGTATAGATCGCCGGGCTGCCCGTTAATGGTGAATGCGTCGGAGATGCTGGGGGCGCTGCCGGTGCTGATGGCCTCGTGGATAACGTCGATGGGATTCTGGTCCCACCACTCGCCTGCTCAGCACAGTAATGTTTTGGACGAGTTCATTAGTGCGGCCAGCAATTGATTTTTTTTTTCTTTTGGGATACAATTTTACTTTTTTACATTATTAAAATTTTTAATTTTATTGATATGCCATTCTATTTACTTTATTTCTGATAGATTTATAAATTGTTCTTAAAAAGTTTTTAACAAAAATATTTTTTAAGCTACCATAATTAATCTATGTAGAAGCACTTTCTATAATTTTTAAAGATTTTTGAGTCAATTAAGGCTTCGTTTGGGACGGCTTTTTTACTGCTTTATAAAACGGAGTTTTAGTACAAATTTTTTTATTTTTTTATTAAAGCTCCGTTTTAGAAAGCAATAAAAAAGCCGTCCCAAACGAAGCCTAAGTCACATTCACACACACTACATATATAAATTTCAAATTAAAGACCTCTTGATTGATAGTTAAAATTTTCAACTTACACATCAAGATGAATTGTGTAAAAAACTAAGAGTTCTCTTCATTGTTTAGGAGAAAATATTCTATGTAGACGCCTAGCTCTACATTCAGGGACAAATCAGAATGAGCTACGTCGGTATCGTGGCTCAGTACCGTTCGGTACCGAGCTCGTTATTGCTGATGTGGCTCATTCTGGTTGGTCTCCGGATGTAGAGCTGCGTTCGGCATCCGCACAGAATAATTTTTCTTTGTTTAGCCAATCAATTGATATAGGCGGGTTGGCTGGGTCTCACCCACTTGTTGGATTTCCACCAACTAATAATATTAGTAATATTTTTAATACTAAAATAAATAATATATTTTCATAATGATATAACATTCATGTAGAAGAAAGAGTTATTTGAATGAAAATGATGAGTGAACACTATAAATTTTAATGAATTAATCATATTAAATATGTATTGGCTTATGTGACTGTAAAAAGCTTCTTTCAACCAACTTTTTCATATTATATTGCTTATGATAATAAAGATAACCAAAAATCAATATATTTATTGAATTTGTTTCAGTTTGTTGCATAAAATATAAACAGTTATAAAGAGAATATAATTATAGTATTTATTTAAACAATATTGAAAATAAACAAGAAGTAATTTTAGTTACCTAGAAGGATTGGGTATTCCCTTTTGGGTGGCAAGAAGGGATATTTTTTTTTCTCTTTAGGGTGGATGATAAGGGCGCCATACACTGTAGCCCTCAGCCATGAACTGTGCGCATGCCACCAAAGTGTTCCTTCTTGATCTTTGATGGTGAATCTATATGTATAGATGCCTCCAGGCTTAACCGGACACTGAGTCACAAACTCAGGACCATCAGCCCATGCTGTTCTTATCTGACGTATTCCATGCCTGAAAATTTCATATTTATCAACCAAAAAACTCTTAATAAGTTAAATGCATAATGATTAACTATTATGGGGCTGTTTGGTAGCACCCAGGATTTGATTTAAGTAGGATTTCATAAATACTCTAAACCCGGATTTCGGAAATCATGAGGGGCATAAATCCTGAAAACTGTTTTGTATCATTCATTATAAATATGGTTAAATCTCGTTTAACTGTTTGGCTATAGAGCAAATTTAACGAGTGGATTCTTCCTCTTGAGCCAATGAATTTCGTAAATCTGGGAAAAAACTGGATTTCATAAATCTGGATTTAGCACGAGAAGGCGGAATTTTTCGTCTACAGCAACTTTCATTTTCCGTGAAATTTGGTTTTTTGCATTTTATGTGGTTTGGCTGGATTTCACTCAAATCCGCCTCAAATCCTGCTACCAAACAGCCCCTTATTGATCGACCAAAATTGCATGGGCTTAACATGCAATCTTGTTCTACCAATATTATTGTATTTTTTATTGATGAAATCGATGGGTGGACTGACTATAATCTAGCCACCAGTGAATTTTGAAAATCTTATTACTCTTATAAATTAAATATACATACCAGTGTATAGTAACATTATAAGGAGTACGGTTGGAAACAGTGATGATCAATGTATCACCGTTTCTGACTTCAATGTTGGGGCCTGGGAATTGGCCGTTTACTGTAATGATGTTGTGAGACTTGCATAACCTTTTCACTGGAGTCCCTTGGACCTGATTACAGCAAAAAAAATTCTAAATATAAGCCACCATATGACAAAGAAAATAAATATTTATGAAGGAAATAAAAGAGAGGAGACATACAATGAAGTCATGGTGGTGAACTTCTGCACTTGAGTTGGATAAGTGGAGGAGGAAGGCGAGGAGGAAGAAGCCGGAGAGTAACCAGGTAATGGAACTTCTCCGGCGAGTTTCCATTTTTAGCTATGTTCACTCTTCTTCTTCCTGCTTGCTGTAATGAAGCTCAAGGTTGGTAGTAGTGGACTTGGAAAGTGAGAAACAAGGGGTTATTTTATATATGGTGAGGGGTTTGGGGTTGTTTGGGTTTGGCAGTTTAGGTTTGATTTCTGTAATATTTGCTTCATTTTTCCTTTCAGATATGGAAGATACCAGGCTGCGCAGCTGATCTCTCTCTCTTATTTTTTTTGTTTTTCCTTAAGCTTGAAGGAGTTGTTACACCCACTGGCCTCTCCACTCTTATTTAAAAGTAAATTCAACAAGGATTCTTTGACAATTTCAGGTGGTGATGAGTACTTGTAAGGGCAAATACATCATTATACACTTTGATCATGATAAATTATTCGTTTGGTGAAGCTCACAATTCTCTTGCGATGATGATGGTTTTTTTTTTTTTGCATCAAAAATAGATTGTAAGAAGAAAAACATTATGGACTCTAGAGAAGGTCAGCCCAAGCTCATTAAAACTCCTACCAGAGTTTCTCCTCTTCTCCATATTATGCAGAGCATTCCTATCATCTTCTTAATCTGTCAACTTGCTGCATTTTTCTTCATAGGATTCAAGTTTTTTCAAGTACACTAAACTATCATCATCGATCAGAGAAGCACAATCACTATCTGTAGATCTGTATGATTTTCAAGTACATGGGATCAAAATGCATAATCTAGAGTATGATTCTCTCTTGCAGATTTTTCCAGAAAAGTCAACATTCATTACAATCTGTATATTTAATTTGCATTATTTTGTATTTTGTTGAGCTGAATTTATACTGTGACATCAGAAATACATAGCACTATAAAAGTAGTGGAAATTAATAATTTATACTAGAAAAAATCACATGGGGTTTATTATTCTTTCTTTGGATAAATTATTCTGTGCGGACACAGACACTAGACGCCGGACGCCGTCCCACCAGAACGCGTCACGTCATTTTTTGCTCTCGGTACTGATGTTGGGTACCAGATGACGTGGCGCGTTTAGGTTGGTCTCCAGACCATCTGGTGTCCGCACAGAATAATTTCTCTTTTCTTTGTGTTTCTCTTTTTAGATCCACCTTTTGTCCTTTTTATTATTTTTATTGATGTTTAAATGAGGTCCTCATTCTCATTGAACAGGTCTCATAACATACCAATTGAAGGATGATGATTAATCAACTACTTTATTGACAAGATCAAATCTTCTGTAAAAACTCCTGTTTTTTTTGTTCATTTGGTTGAGTTGTTGGAGAAGAAGCTTCAATATATCTAAAATAAAGATAAAAAAATCCTCATCAGTTCATCTGCACATCTAAGTTCTACATTGAACTTTTACATTCACATCTTTTTCACATGTTTTCTCCAAGGTTTAATAACAAGGAACATTGGAGTTATATATTGCTTCACGCTTCTTCACTTGGGGCACATTTGATGATGTGAAATTAAAAATTATTTTTTTAATTGATAAAATTTATTATATCTATTTTTGATTGAATGCAATTAGATATTAATATTTATTTTAAAATTTATAAATCTCCTGAAAATTCTCGCAATATTGAAAATTTTATTTTCAAATTTAGAATTAATAAAAAAACATTAATTCTTAAAATAAAATTTCTATTTGTAAGCAATTAAATGAATAATTAATTGAAATATTGAAGATCTTCTTCAATTCATTAATCTATGAAGTTCTAAATCCAAATAAAACATTTTTGAGGAGGATTTGCCTCACATGCCAATCACTCTTGGGAAAAATTATTTTGTGCGGAGGCAGGACAGTTCTATGTCTGGAGGCGAATAAGGTGCAGTCACGTCAGCGGTACCGAGCGGTACCAAGCCGTGATACATGCAATGGGGGTGAGTTGATGCATTTTGATTGATCTCCAGACAACATTCAGTGTCCGCATAGAATAATTAATTCTTTGGGGCTCATTTCAGACAAAACAATATAGCAATTATATTATGGTTTGTTTGATTAGCTATATAAGCGAAAACCTGAAAGCTTTGAGAAAAATTTCAAAGCTTAAAGCTGAGTAGGAAAAATTATCAGTCATTTATATTGAATTAATTAATATGTAAATTATTTGACATAATTAGGTATTAATTAGGTAACACAGCTCATCTTGGCATGTTGGTTGAGAGCATAGGCTTCCAACCAAGAGGTCTAGGGTTCGAGTCTTTGTGTATGCATTGTTTGTGTGAGTTTGCCTTAAATGGCCTAAATGTCCCCAATAAAAAAAATTAAAACGAAAATCACGTTTTACACAACTCTCCTTGGCCTATTGGTTGAGGGCTTAGGCTTCCAACTAAGAGGTTCAGGGTTCGAGTCTATGTATATGCGTTGTGTGTGTGAGTTTGCCTTAAATGGCCTAAATGTCCCAAAAAAAAAAAAAAGGTATTAATTAGGTTAATTGTCAATTACTAATTTATTATTAAATCCCTCTAATCAATAAAAAATCAATTAATAAATATATTGAAAAGTAAATTATTATGGATTAATGATGGTAATATAAACAATGATTAGCAAATAACCAAACAAAATAGGAATTAATTAGACTAAATAGTTATTTAGATAAATATCATGAGGTGTTACATGATCATTTTAAATAAATATAATTCAATCAACATATTCATTATGTGGGACTATTTCAAGAGACAATTAATGAATTTTTATGCATTGTTAATGATATCGTAATTAGATGTAATAATTTTTAAACTAAATTTACAATTCAATTAGTTTAATCATTTAAAATATTCAAACTTGAAAATAATTAAAAATATAATCACCCGACTTCATAGCAGCAACATGAAATGATAAGATGAGCAGCAAAAATGTTATATTATTATAAATTATATTAATTGCATTAACAAACTCTAGGCAATTTTGCAACTTGGATCCTAAAAAAATTCTGAAATGAACTTGCACCATCTTAAAGGCATTTACGGTAATACAACCATTTTATATAATCATCATGCAACTATGAATAACCGTACAAAATTATAGTTAGTGCTACATAATATACACAATGTTTGAATGGCTAACATTTATGAATAGCTATTAACTGTGAAGTATGGACGCGAACATGGAGACAAGAACACAACATGATTTGGCTGGACATGGTGGCATGACATAATTGTGAAAGTCGTCTGAGCAAAGCGAGCTAAGTTGGCTCACGAGTCAGCATAAGTTCAACTAGATAACAAGCTCATGAAGCAAACTTATCAGCTAAGAGTATGAGGCCGAGCCAATTTTAATTACTCATTAAGTATAAGAGCTTGAGTTTGAGTTTTAGTGGACTCAACTAAAAAGCTCGTTGAGTGGCTCAAATAAAAATAAGTCGGAATAGTTGGTGTTTCAATCATTTAAAAAATAACAAGACTAAATCACAAATCCCAAGTTTAGGCTTCAGCGTTTTCTTTTTTGCCTCTCGATCCCTACTCATGCATTGCTGCCATCCCCTCCTCTTCATCTTCGATTCTTCCGCTCTCTTTCACTTACTGCTACAAAATCGACAACAGTAACTACCATTGTATCTTCCACTTTTTCAAGCTCGACTCCCACCAGTTCTTCGCCTCTTTCGAGTTTGACTACGACAAAATATTATGCTGTTTCTAGGATGAATGAAATATTTTGTACTTTGGAAGCTAATATGACAATTCAAATATATGTTTTGGTAATTGTTATTTGTATTAGCTACCAATTATTTTGTATATTTACGCATATTATTTATTATTTTGGTGATTGTTTGTGTGGGACAGATAAAAATATTGTGTTTTGTAGGCAAATTAGTCCTATAACAAACTACTTCATTGCATGTGTATCTATCTTGGCTAGAATTTATGTCGCCAAAATTAAATTGGATTTAAATGTCTATAAACTTTATAATGTTCATTATATTCTTTTAATGCTGCTAATTGTTACAAAAGTATACTGTAATAAATTATTATATATTCATAAACAATTTTAATAACCCGCATCATTGTTTGTTAACTAGAAAAATAAACTAATTTTCGACTGCTTTAAAAATATTCTACTTTATCCTGAAATTTGGCATTGAATTGATCCAATAGAGCCATAAACTAACCATATATGCACAACTAATTGAATTTTGATAATTATTCAATAAACTTATTTTATTAACTCATTGTGGGGACATTTATTTATTTTTAATCAGCTAGCTATGGCATGAGGGGCACATACAGCCTTGATGAAGGGTGTGCACGATTGTGGGACAACTTCGATGAAGAGGCCAAGATGCAAGCCAACTTTGAGAAGAAGACATAAGGCGCAGATGCGAGATGGCTTTAATGAAGAGGATGAGAAGCATGACATATCGTAGATAGCTAGGGAACTAGCACATGTAACAAATATGAGTAATTCCTTACTAGCATTGCATTTTTTGAGTTCCGCCTTTTCTGCGTGCCGCAAGCACCATGGTCTTGCCATGTTCCGCCGTGTTTGATAAGTGTCAAAGTCCAAATTTGCACTAAAACTTCGACATAATTTTTGAAGTGTCCTACACATTTCATTGTGTTGTGTTAGAATAACTAAATATAATAATTACGCGAGACGTCGCAATAAGTATTTTAAGTATATATATTTAATTATATAAATCATTAAGGAGCCCATATATTTGAATTATTAAAATTTAATTATTTATATTTAAATCCTATTGGTTAAGAAGAGATAATTTGATCAATCGTTTATGGACCGTTTGATTAAATAACTCTTATGAGCGGCTATTATAACTAATCCATAGGAAATAACTACCGAGACTCTCTCTCTCATTATGGGATTAGTTTGTTCTATAGAGAATTAACTCATGGAAGAAGAAAGTGAAATGAAAAAGAGTGAGAAACAATAATTTGAAATTCAAGAAATTCAACATAAATCAATGTATGTTTTCTTCCGATTAAAATCTTGTAAAAATCATCTTGTTTAAAATCTTGTGGATTTAAGATTTTTGTAAAATCATATTTTCATTTTAATTTCTTTTACATGATTTATAATGCGAGTTCTTGCAAGAGTTAGAGAACTCATAATTCATGTTGCGAGTTCTTACAAGGTAAATTCATAATTCATGTTGCGAGTTCTTGCAAGAGTAAGAGAAATTTAATCTTACATGTTAAAACTGTGTCCAGGTTTCACGCTGACATGAAAGACAATTGAAAGTGACCTTGCTTCATAGACTACAAATGAAGTGCAAATATGAGATTCTCTAGTTGGATAAGAAAATTTCAATTATTGTGTTCATCCCCTAATAATCTTTAAGTAAAAATACAGATATAAATCTTGGATCCACTCCAAAAGAAGGTATTGTGACAAAGATATACATGCACTATGCCGACCAAAACAAGACTAAACAAATCTGCTAAATGTATAGTCTATTTATTAGACATAGTAAGGACCATTAAGTAAACGAAAGGCTCGAGTGTGAGAAATCGCTGAAGTTCTCAATCCTTAAAACAATTCTTCACCTTCCCCACTATTCTCCCATTTCTCCTTGAGTTCATATCAAACTTCAGTATTTTGTTTGACATAAATAACTAATGTATTTCTATATATTAAATGGAGAAACAAACAAATAAAGATGGTAGAAATCCAAATGAAAAAATAAGGATCAAAAGTCAATCAAAATATACCTTATAGAGGAAAAACTTGCGTCACAAATGAAAGGCCCGAAAATACCATCATGGTTACAATAAGGACAGACACAAGGAAAAGAAATTAACCCAATTAACACTGATTTATAAAAATATGGTTCAAAAAGGAAGTAGACATCCTTCAATAAAATTCTAGAACAAATTTAAAGAATAGAAGTCTGAATGTCATAAAATATTTTCTTCAACATAACTAACTAGTACAATTGCAACTATTAAATGTAAAAGAAAACAAAGAATATAGTAGAAATCCCAATGGAAAAATAAGGATCAAAGCTCAATCATAAATACTTCATAAAACAGAACAATAAGTACATGAAGGACCAAAGCATCATTTTGGTCACTCACGATAAGGTTGAACACACAAATAGGAAAATTTTCCCAGCAATACAATCTGGTTTTTAAAATAAGAAAGACAAGACTGGGATCTTCTTGGTATATAAATCATTTAGCTCAGAAAAATTCATGCACAAATTTAATAGACGGAATCCTGCATGATACATGAAGACCCCAGAATGTCATTACGGCTATCCATGATCAGATTAGTTTCATATAAAATTTAATTTTTCCCACCACAATAATCTCTGGTTTCAAGAACTGTTCAACTATTTATTGCCATACATAAAAAAAAAACGCAGAACCATACAAACTTATAAATGGAAAAAGGCGTTACCCATCAACTTCTCAGGAAATCGTTGAATTTTAGGTAGATCCAGCTCTTATTAAACGTCCATCAAAATATATAAAGGAAAAATGACGTGGAAACCAGATCAAATCTGATTGCGTGGCTTGATCTCTTGATGACATGAAAGAAAATATCTTTAGCAATATCTGGTTTCAGTCATCTTGTTTCTTTCTATGTTCATACTGCTATGTGAATCGGCTGTTGCCAAAATCAATGTTGTTTAGAAAACAAAATAGGAAGAACCTTGAATCAATCCATAATCAATTCAATTATTGTTCGTCTAAATAATATGTCATTTTCTAGACAACAATAACCATGTATGTTTGCTAAGAAACTAATCACAAAATCATCATTCACATAAAAAAAAAAACAAATTCCAGCAATTCATGGAACATATAAATTGATAAATCAACTGTTAAATTTCTGTATTCCAAATTGTATAAAAATCAAAGACATTTATATCATTTCCCCCAATACTAGTTATACAGTACTAGCCGATCCCCAAACAAGCCCTAATACAATAATTAAAAATAAAAAGAAGTCGCACCAACCTCCCGAATGGATCTGCATCCAGAACACCAGGTCCGCATCACGCACGACCCATAACAACAGCCGGACCTACAGTCGAGGCGCCTCCACCAAGAAACGACAAGAATCCCGTCGCCGCCCCTCCCGGCTCTTGATCATCGAGGAACAAATCCTCCGGTACGCGGAATGCACCATGAGCGGCAACCAGGGCAGCACCGACCAGCAACGCAGAGATTATGAGAGATCCAACCGAGGTGAGGAAAACAACGAAGACGGTGATGACGGTGAGACCAAGCAGGGTTTCGCGATCCGAAAAAGTGCGTCCGAAAAGGGTGAGCGGGGGATCTGAGGGTCGGAAGATATAGAGGAAGCACCAAGAGGCAAGTAATCCAAGGAGGACGATGAGAGAGGCGGGATGGGACACGAGGGAGAGAGCGAGGACGGCGGCGATTAGGGTAAAATAGTTGATACGGAAGTAGGAGAAGTTTCTGCGGAGACGTGATGTGGCGTCAGAAAGAGAATCTGGACGAGAGAAGGCGGATCGATCGACAAGTTCCGACCAAGGGCGGCGGTCGGATAGAGATCGGCGGATGGATTCTTGGAGGCGGGAGAGGAATACGCGGAAGGCTGGGGTGTTCACCGGTGGTAATGACGGAGAGGAGATGGATCCGGTAGAAGCTGCGGTAACGGCAGGTGCTGACTGGGAGTTGGAGATCGGGAGAATCGGCGGCGAGGCGGAGGCGGCCATTAGGGTTAGAAAAGAAGAAGAAATGAGATCCCGACTTCAGGTTTTTTCTGAGAACAAGTCGATGAGACAAACATGCCTTTTCAATAGTTAGTCCGGTTTTATCAATATATTATATATCAGTGTTCCCGGACTAAGGGTAAATTTTTAAAATAAATATCATTAATAATTTAATTAACTATTAAATCAACAAAATAGATAAATTTAAAACTAGGAAAAGTCGCCCAATAAATGGGCGACTTGCTCAAGTTATAAAGTTAAGAAAAATTTTCAGGAGAGAGAAAGTAAGATAAAGAAATAAAATATGAGAGAAATAAAAAAGCTCAAAAAAAATCTTTTTTTTTTTAATTTATTTCTCTCTCCTACGTTCTCTCTCCTAATTATTATTTTTTAATATTTTATAACTTGAGCAAGTCGCACACTCCATGGGCGACTTTGCCTAATTTTAAATTTAATATTTTTGTTAGTTTAATAACTAATTAAATTATTAATGATAATTATTCTAAAAATTTATCCCCCGGACTAATATGCTATGCCATAAAAGCTATCCCTACGTTTTTCTGTTTATTTATGTATGGCTTTCTCTAATGGGAGGACTGAAAACAGCGGATCAAAAGAAATATTCAGCTGGATCCTAACTATGCTATTTACAATTGTGATCTTTACTTAAGTTGCAATGAAAGCTCGGGTCATCTATTTTGGATGCGATTTTTCATTTCAGTTGTTATGCAGTATTATTTCCTGCTGCTCTTCAAATCTGCAACAGATTTTAATTTTTGTGACCATGTGGACTTACCTATTTCATTGTATAATATCTAATTTCTATGTATCCATTTGAGCTTTAATATATTATATTGGAAAGAAAGGAATGAGAGAAAATTTAGAAGAAATTATTCTAAAGGAGTTTGGATGGTGAGAACCGTCAGAATTTGCTACGTATTTATTGAGTATTTACTGTATATTTGCAAATACTTAATGAATACTCTGTTGTTAGTATTACTGAGTATTTTGTGAGTATTTGTTGAGTATTTTGTGAGTAGCCACTGACTATTTTGTAAATATTTGTTGATTTACTACATATTTATTGAGAATTTATGTAGTAATCTGGTTTTTTTTTTCTATCTGCACTCCACACAAAATAATTTCTCAAAATTTGGAAAGCACATTTGTAGCCTTACTACTATTCAATCCGGCATTTTAAAGGCAATTCATCTTAAACTTCACAAATAGAAATTTTGGCAAAACTTTCAGCTATTCCTCGCGCATTAATTTGGGCGGCTCACCTTTAGTCTGGCAACAATTGTTTGCTTCGATTTTAGTGTATGGACAATGATGTCTGTTTTGTGTCACCTGTATCAATTCTATGGGGCGAATTATTGACCGGACGTCCAGACACCCAATCCAGACGCGTCACGTCACCTAAATATACTGGGTCCCGATGTATTTTGGTAACGTGAGAATCTGTTTTGGTGTCCGAACGAATCCAGACACCAAACGTAATAATTTGCCCTCCTATAACAACCAAGAGTGCTGCTGACAATGAATTATTTGATTCTTTGGGTGTTTTGTTGCTCTCCGAATCCAACATTCTTATCTTTCTTATTTCTTCTTAATTGAATTTCTCTATGATTTTGGCTTATAGCATTGCAAGTTTTTTTTTTTTTTTTTTGATTGCAACTCTATTCAAATTGTTTTTCTTTTTTTAGTTGTCCTCTTCCATTGTAATCTTTTTACATCAATGAAAATAGGCTAGTCTTCTACCTAAACAAAATCATAAGTCGGGAAATCATTACGTGCCTACACGTGCATCAATAATAGCTTGCTCGCATGTATATATATAGATATATTAAAAATTTGCTCAAGATAGTGAGATACTCACAAAAATTTTTCAAGTGAAAAATTTTTGCGGTGGAATTTACTTTGTAAAAATCAGTCTAACTGTTCCTAAGACGGCCGAGATATTCCAACAATTAGGAGACTAATTGGATTGAACTCGTTAAGCCACTAAGCTCTGGTCGAACCCTGTAAAGGGGCGCTGCCCCCTTGGTCCCCCGACATATATTCGAAGCATACAACGATCAAGGATATGAACAAATAGGGGTTGTGGGGCAGCGCCCCTGGAACAAATTTCGATTGTAAATATATTTATGAAAAAAAAAATCTATACATTTACTTATAAGTTCCTCCCCTCCCCAGAAAATTAAGGCTGGTTCCGCCCCTGACTAAGCTCCATCAATTTTTATGATCAAGTAGAAGTAGTCATCATAGTAAACTCACCATCCAGTTGGTCTAGGGCTATACCAGTGCAAAGAACTCGCCCATCTACTCACTAGAGGCTGTTAGGTAGATCTACCCAAACAACTCAACAATGGACACTTTGCTTAAACTCAGTCAAGGAATGTGAAGTTAGTCGGTGAGTTCACAATGACCTCCTCAAATTTGAAAAATTCTAAATACATATGTAAGATTTTTAAGAGCCATAGCTGGAGCATCCTTCTTTGTGGGAAACCTTTATTGTATTTTTGGCTTATTGTTATGTCATAAAATATTATTTTGATTGGACAAAAATCTCAATACATATTTAAATTGAAAATTTTCAAAATTAATTTCAGAACTATCTGAACTCCAATTTCAACAAACTTAGAGTTGAACTGAATGTCTTGACCAGATGAACTCAATGATATCAAATGTGGTCCAACTGAGCCCGAATGAGCATAAATCAAAGGCGTAAAACGTAATTAAAATTTTTTAGGACATTAATTGAATGACCAAATGATATCAAAATTTGGCATGCTTATAGTCAAATTGAGCAACATGATGAGATAGACCCACTGAGTACAAGTTGTATAATTTTGACATAATTAAAATACTCAAATGTTGAATGAACATTTTATGATCAAAGATATTGTTGATAGAAAAAAAAAAAAAAATTCTCCACTCCGCCCTTCTTCTGCTCCAACTAGGCCCACACAAAACTCGCCTAACCCACATAACTAGCAGATCCTTCTGTGTGAACCATGTTCTTGACCCGTACCTTTTGCTCCGAATGCCCACGTCCTGTTATTTCTCTTATCTAGATGTTGTGCGATCGCTAAAGCCTTCACACGCTGAAGTCACCATGCACGATTCAGTCACTATGCGCGGTCCAATGCCTATACCTGAGCTATGCTCCAAGCCTTCACCAGTAAAACATGGCCTCCACGCCGGCAATTTGATTGTGCATGCAACCTTTCATGTATTCCTTCGCCTGGACGAAACACACGAGCACCGTCGAAATACTACTGGAATATGGCTATGATATCAATTGTTGTACAAAGCGGTGAAAACAACTAGAACAAATACAATCAAACACAACGATTTATGTGGTTTGGCAAAGATGCCTACATCCACATAGAGAGTATGATTGTATAATATTGGAGAAACAAGATTACAATTGGCTTTCTCTACTATGCGTACATTACAATAGCCCTTAAACCCTTAAGTTCATTAAATGTATTTGGAGACAAATTATAATAAGAAAACTTCCTAATTAAAGTATCAATCAAATCTCCTAATTTATATAATAATTAGATATCCTAATTAATGCATTAATTGGTCATTTAATATTTCTCAAGTCAAAGCTGAAACCAATAGGAATGACTTCCATAACATTGGTACGTTCCAATCTTTGATGTTATTTATAAATATTATTTGGTTATTTTTATAAAATCATTCGGTTTCAATTTTGGCAAGCTGGTTTAGCTCATATAAGCGCTGGTTCTGGAACCAATTATATATACTTCATAAAATCTGATTTTACTAACTTTATTATTCCCCTATTTAAATTATGACCTTTTTATTTTCTTTATTGCCAATGCATAACTCTTGGTGACGTTGTTCTGTCTCTTTTAGCGACTTACAAAAATTTCTTGCGTGGCTTTTGCTTTTGGACGAAGTGCTGTATAATAGTACGTTGTGGATATTTTATTTTTAAATTAAGAATCAAAGTAATTTTCAGGAAGGAGTAAAATAATTCTCAATTATTTAAAAATATTATTTCAATTATTTTAATTAGGAATTTAAATGATCATATGAAAAAACTAATTTGATTATTATTTAAAGAATACTAAAATATCAAATGAATATTTTTATATAATTAAATACTTTTTTTTGGGAACGGGATATCTACTCACTGCCACCGCCCTTAAGAGGAGCTTGACAGCATAATTAATCCCTCGGTGAGCCTACTAGCAATCAGCCCCACAGGTTCAGGAACCACATTTATTTTTCTTCCCACTTAAGCGGTCGCGCAGCTTGAGAGGGGAATCGAACATAATTTAGGGGTTCCCAATCATGCTCGCCCACTGGGGCAACAACATAACAAAATACTCAAAAGAAACAGAGGAGGCGCTGGAGCTGAAACAGAGGACACTCCGGTGTCACCAATTCAGATATTTTCTCTTTTGTTTTCCATCAGCGTGTTGCTTATGGCTCTTATTTTCCTTTATTTCGTAGCCACGTTTAATTTTTCATCTTAGTTAATTCCAAGATCCAAATTAATTAGACCAAACTGTAATCCAATCAAATCTTGTCACGACAAACTGTAAGCCACATATTCACTTCTTCCTATATGGCTAAGAAAAGTTCTAAAATCTTCTCTTCAGTCGTATATTATGTCGGCATTCAAATTAATTAATCAAGCTCGACCAGCTGGCTTTTCTCCTACATATTCAACATCGGGCAATAGGAGAAACGTCAAATAATATGCATAACGGTCAGGACAGCTTTACGTGCGAAGATTGTCATCACTCATTACGTTATTAAAAACTTTTACTTAGAGATTAAATACTACCTTGCGACAAATTTAGCTTTTTTGTTGTATTTGTTTGGATCGATATGTTTAAATGAATGTTTTGCTGTCTGGTCTGGTCTGCATTGCTCAATCAGGCAAGATATTTGAACGATTAGAGAGCGAGAGGTAAATCACGCAGCAAATACAAAATAAGAAAGAGAAAATGCATTTATATTGGACAGATAAAGTATATAATATGCATGATAGAATGCATTGTCACATGATACGTTGCATTGGATATAG